CGATTCCATTAGACTAAGCTAGGGTGAGACTAATCACGGTGAATCTGGTTGACCGCCCGTAACCGCGGGCACGGCTATTCGAATAGTTTTACTCTGATTAGAGGTGTACAACTGTACCCACAAGACAAAGCCCCACGACACGTTTTCGTGCGCCGACATGCCACCACGACATACCGGATAGAGGCCGTGACAGGACCCTTCGCATAACCCCCTCTAACCAAGCACACCACACCTCAGGTTTCACCCCCACTACTCGCAAGGCAGCGGGCAGTCCCCTCTCGTGCCTAAGTGAATCCGGAAGCCGCATAGGCCATCGCAGGGCCCATCCAAACTCCATCACACCCACCCTTGCCTAGATGCGTCAGCTAGAGGAAAGCTACCCTACAAGCCCAGCCGTTGCGCACGCTGGCTTGTTGTAAGTACGATAAGTTCTTCCAGGGCATACCGCAAACCGGTCCTTATGTGCCATGGGCGCGACCATCAAAACCATGCACCCACAGCCCACCATTTAATATATTTTAATTAACCAACACCGGAGCGGTGGCATTAACCAACATCATTACTAGAATCTGATATCTATGCATTAATGTAATTCCCCCATTGTGTGCTAGTTGAACTAAGCATGGCTAAGCAATCCCTAGTCCAATATCTCGTCATGTTATATCCTAAGCTAACAAAGGAGCATGGTACAAAAATAGCATGGCTGTAACAGTAGGTAAATATCACATAGTAACATTATAAAACAATGCAGTATTTAAGGGAAAACGATAGAACATTTGCAATATAGGATCAACATGTTCAAGTGACAAGCATGACTTGCCTTGCTTTGCTGCTGGATGAACCTCGGCGACTATTTCAAAGTACACCGGAGCGTCGGGAGAGCCGGAATCTAAGCGACATACAAAGCAAACAATACAAACAGGCCATAAGACTACTGAAACAGAGAATAAAACCATTTTTAATGGATTCTTTGCATTTTTCTTGATTTACTGAGACTTGAATGGGCTTAAACGGAGCTCGGATGAATTTTCTATGAATTTTAGAAGATTCATTGTGTTTTTACTATAAACAGAAAAACCCTTAAATGATTTATTGCGCAATAATTAAAACCCTGGGAGAGAGAGGGGGCGGCACCGACATGCGGGCCCCACATGGCAGTGACTCGGGTGGCGGTCCGCGGTGGACCGGGTCCACGAACCGGGGAAGGGGCTGCGTACCACGTGGCGCTGACGTGGGGCCGACACCACGGCCACGTGGCAGCCACGTGGGCGCCCGAACCGACGGCCCTGATCTACCCTCGGCGGCGGGAGCGCGCGGCCGGCGCGCACAGGTGGCTCAAGCCGGCCCGGCGGCCATGGCGTACGGCAACGCTACCGCGAGCGGCGGTGGCAAACGGCGGCGACCGACGGTGAGCGGCGGCGCACGGCGGGTGACGGCGGCGCGATGCGACGACTAGGCGGCGGCGCTACCGGAGGAAAAGAGAGGGGGAAGAAGGAGGGGGTGTCCTCACCGAGGAGGTTTGACTGGCGTGGAGGGAGACGACGGTGAACGGCGGCGAGACTCGACGGAGAGAAGTCGACGAGCGGCGGACGGGGTTCGGGATGACCTAGGAAACAAAGTGGGAGAAGTTAGAGGGGAAGAGAAAGATCACCGAGGGCGGGAACGCCGGCCAAAGGCGGCGGCCATGGCCGAACTCACCGGCGCACGGTGCGGGATGGGTTCCGGCGGCGGAATCCGACGGGAGAGGGGTGGATGGGGTGGCCCGCTCGACGGCGAACGCGACGGCGTCAACGGCGCGGCTCGGCACGGCAGCTAGCGGCGGTCGGAGCAACGGCGGAGGCGGCGGAGAGGTGGGCGACGGCGCTAGTGCTAAAGAGAGCACGGGAGCGGGTGATTGCAAAACGAAAAAGAGAGAGGGGAGAATGGGAATGCTTTATATAGGCTCACAAGGGTCGATCGTGGCCGGGATGGCTGCGATTTCGCCGGCGGAGTGGGGAGAGGTGGAGAGGAGAGAGAGGCGGGATTCAAAAATTAAATCCCGGCCGTCTCGAGCGTGGACGCGGGCGAGAGAGAGAGGGAGTGGGCGCGGGGAACGCGGGGGAAGGCGGCGACGTGGGCGACGTGGCCCGGGAGGTGCGGGAGCGAGCGGGGCGGCGGTTGCGGGATGCGGCGGCGGCGACCGGAGGTTAGGGACGGGCCCGACAGGTGGGGCCCACCTGTTGGTGACCCTAGGGGAGAGGGGCGTGGGCGGCCGGCTTGGCTGGGCCGTGGCCTTCGGCCGGCCCGGCGGGCAGGGGGAGGGGAAGAGAATGGGCCGGCGGCCCATTCGAAAAGAAAAAGGAGGGAAAAAGAAAAGAAAAGGAAAGAAAGGATTTTCCAGGGATTAAATAATGCTTGTGCTCATTTTTAAATGGTTAAAATTATTTCTAGAGCTCTGAAAATTCCACTAAAAATCTTGTTAGCATATTTCGACATGTAGAACTCACGAAAATCCTACATGCCAATTCCGATTATTATTTGCATTAATTTATTAGGGTTTCACTCCTGCTCTTACACCGGTATTTTTTTGAGACCATTTATAAATTCAATTTAGACTTGGGAGAAGAACTTCAGGGTGTGACACCATGTAGGGGAGAGAGAGGGGCATAGAGAGAAGAGGGAGCCTGACATGTGAGACCACATGGGTCCCACCCTTTTTATATTTTTTTAGCTGACATGTGGGTCCCACTGTTTTTTATTATTTTCCCGGGATCCAAATGCCAAGTAAGCGCTACGTAAATGCCACGTGGGTCGACGACCTAGTTAAAGGGAGCCACGTAGGCGCTACGTCATCTAAAACCAGGCACAATACTGCCGAGAGATCTCTTTTACACGGTTTTGTAAGTTGGGGGACCCGTTGTATCCGGTTTTGTGATCAAGGGACGAAAATCGGACTGGGCGACAAATAGAGAGACCCAGAGTGAACTTATTCCCCATTTTGCGCATACTCAATTATGGGCCCTAAATGCGTAGGCCCATTCAGCACGTAGGCGGCAATCCTGTTCTGGGCCCACGACATCACGGCCTGTCTAGTTACGCTGGTTTCTAACGTGGGCTCGGAACGGGATTGGCCCAAAATGGTCTACGCTGAATTCGGATTAGTCCATCCGCAGCAAGAATGCCACGCTTGGTATTTTTCAGATGGAATAAGTGTATTTACATCCCTAAACTCATCCTTGATTGAATAGCATCCCTCAACCATAAAAACGGGTATAATACCTCTTCAATTTTTGAAAACTGGTTCAAATCGATCAACTCCATAGGTGGTTTGGGAAGCGGTTTACCGTAGGATCCACATGTAAGCGCCTACTCTAGTTAACACTTTTTTTTCAAATGAACGACATATGTACATCGTCGTTCAATCTGGTGCACTCTCGCCGCTCGACCGACTGGTGACCACGACGGTGGCAAAGATGGCTTCGTCGACCTAGGAGGCCGAGTACAAGGCTTCCTCGGCCACAACTGGTATTTATGCTCATTCATTATCATTACTTTCGCTATTGCATATTTATCTACATCAATCGACTCTCTCTCCATCAAAACAAATTGGATACATGTTAATTGACGTACGGTAGACATGGGAGCTTCTCTGACAGCGCGATGCTCAACAACATCATTGGGCTCCTCCTGCATAGCACGAAGCCACTGGCACGCCTATCCGTCCACGCGACATCCTATGCCTCGCAATGCGCATTGACGGCTCGTGCTTACCATCGTCGTGCCTTGCTACCTCAGTGGGAACCTCCGCATGTCCTGCATCCTCCCGGCGCTCTTCCCCTCTCTCGCCGCACATGGCCGCCACGCCTGTTCGCCTCCACACCCGCGAGGCCGTGCTAGACGTGAGTTCGCCGAGTAGTGAGTACTAGTCCACCTATGCGATGAAGTTGCCCCGGGTTAGGCCAGGCATCCACCGCTACCGTCGTGATTTGCTCGCCTCTGCAATTTCGCCCACCGACCGGGAGCCCGGGATGAGACAAAGAGCAAGAGGGAGGTAGGAGAGGAAGGAGTGGGCCCTACTATGTTCTTTTTATTTTTTTTACTATAATGCCACACATGCAACACGTCAGTACCAAAGTAAGTCAGCCTACTAAGTAGGCACCACATAGAATGAAACCATTATCTAAACCGTTGAAGGATGCGATTCAATCAGGTGTAAGGTAAGAGGGAGATTCACAAATAGGCTTAAATAAATGTGTTCTCCTTATTTTGGCTTTTCCTATTTAAATGTTTGATGTGTTCTATTTTATTTGAACTACACTCTTATCTCGAGTGTTACTTTGTAATAATTGGTTGTAGCTTTTCTTGAGCAAAGGTTGAGATATTATATTCCATTATTAAAAAAGAGAGAGAGAGAAAAATAGACTTATTCCTTTTTATTCCTTTTTAGATTCTTAAGCCGAACTATCATCCGTTGATGTTTGCATTGGACTTTTCTCTATATAAGCCGCGTAACATGAGGCCCAGTAACCGAAAGTTGGCTGATGTTGTTTCGTTGAACAGCTCAGCCCACTCCAACCTAAACGGCCGCTCCCTCCACTGCTGTTGAAAGCGCCACGACGCGCCGCGCCGCGCCCCGCCCCGCTGGCGACTGCTTCTGTCGCGCTCGCGCGCAGAGTCGCCTCCCCGGAGCAAGCGTTGATCGGCTCAAACCTCCGCCGAGGCGAGAGGGCAGCAAAGCGAAACCCCGAACATTTTCAAACGCGGCGCCAAAGCGAGGACCGTTTCGGATCCCGACCCGATGCGGTGCACGCGCCGTGGTCACCGGTACAATCGTACTGTAGTACAGCCGGTCCACCGATCCCGATGCTCTCAGCCTCACCAGTCACCACCACCAACCCTTCCACGGCTAGAAATTTTGCAGTCTACTACTGCCACCACCAGCTGTCCAGTTCACCACCACGACCCGGTCGCCTCCTCCCGCCCGTTTAAATACGCAGCAGCTCAAGCTGCCTCCCCCGCACGCTTCATCCACAGATCCCTCTCTGTCTCTCAACTCCCAAGCAGCAGAGAGAGCAGCAGCTAAAGCTAAGCCGAGTTCTGTCGCCGACGCCGTCCCGATCAAGAGGAGGATACACTCGTACAAGGAGCGGAGGAGGCATCACCAGCTTACAATGCGGAGCTCGTTCGGCGGCAAAGCTCGCGGCGCTGCAGCACCGGCACCGGCGACGCACCCGCGCTACGTGCCGCAGAGAGGAGTCGTGCTGAAGAGCGTGCTGGGCTGGTTCTTCGGCTGCTTCCGCCCCGCCAAGACCCGGCCTCTTCCGGCCGGCCGGTGAAAGCCCGTGCGTGGCTGAGGCCCGGTGTACCGACCGAACTGCCAATGTCGGTTAGCGCCTCGCTTTCCCGTCCCTTAGGTTCTTGCTGGGCGAGCTTCTTCACACGAGACACGGCAACCGATCACGATGGACCGCGCGTGTGTTTCATTAGGATTGTTTGTACTTAGCTTTGTGAATTGTATGTTGCCTTCTTGGCAACCCGTGATTTCATTTGTGTTCCTCAGGGCCTTATCGCATTCTGAAATCTGGATTCAGCTTCAGCCTTTTCAGGTGTTCTTTTTCTTAACGAGACGGTGCGAAGTTCTATTGATAGAGCAGGACTTTTCAGGTGTTCTGTTTCAGATGTTTAGTTATCATTTGATGCTGCGTCTCTGAATAATCGTAGACTAAACAGCAGAAAGCGCAGAACCAGTCAGGTGCAAAGAATTGTTTGCGAGTTGTGATTTCTTTATAACAGAAAAAGACTACGTAGGACAAAAATAAATAATGGGGAAAAGTCAGAAGTCCAAGTCAGCTTTTAGACTTTGACTTTTTCTTGCTTTGTTTAGTTCTTGCTCTGTTGCAATGGTTGGTTGGTGGCCGGATCTGCAGCCATGTTGGGCTCTTGGCTGCATCCAGTGGCTTCAACCAGATTGATTACCTTTTTGTTTCTGGAAAGGAATCATTAGTATTTGGTAATAATTCCATTAGCCCAATTGTACAGCGTTGCATCAGCTGCATCATCAATAAACTTGATTACTTCTGCTCAACGCATCTCAACATTGACCAGAGTCCACATTTCCTACACTTGTCCTACTATACATCAACATCATCTTACTTACTGTAAACAGAAGGAAAGGATTTGTTCCGAAGCAGAATGGTGACATCGTATTCCATTTCCTTTATTCAGAAGTGATTTTGATGGATATGTATGAACTATGAACTAGGGGACCTGTATTACATTTTTTTGAAGGGAAAATAGCGCATAATTGTGACTTTTCATTGAATATAGCGTGAGAGAACACTGCATCACATTAACTTATTCTGTACTTCGAGCTATTACCCATTTACTCATATGAAAGTTCATCCAAACTAGTACTAAGACTTAAGCACGTACTCCATCCGTTCCAAAATAAAGAAATTTAATATGGGATGTGATATATAATATTACTACGATAAATCTGAATAAGTCTATTTTGGAATGGAGTACTAGCTTGTGGCTAAACACATTTCTGAAATTCAAATATCCGTTCAGTACTTCAGTAGTATAGTACATTCTCCAACAATTTGGTACGATCCATGCCTTTTATAGTCAGTACATTCAGAACGAAGAAAACCTGCCACTGGGATGAACATGGGCAAGAACTAATGTTGCCTGCACAAGACAGAATTCGCCAGCTCAAATTTTGTGAGAGAAGTCAGAAGTCAAGGTCAGGTTTTCAGACTGACCTTTTACAGTTCCTCTTCTCTCATTAGTTGGCTCGATCAGAGTCATTCATTAAATCCGATCACTGGACGCGACCAGTTTCTCTCCGGGACACTGACCCTGACCCGAAGTCAATCTTTCAATGTTTCTTCACTTGGTCACTGCCCTCATCTTCAGTGTACCTACTGGACATAGAATCACCGCTAAATTTTGCACACCGAAAAAAAATGCTTTGGTAACTAAATTTCCAAAGAACATAGAGTAAGGATAATCTTTTTTTTTCCTCTCTCCTTCTTTTTCCAGGATTCCAGTGCTGTTCTTGCCCAGTTGCCCTCCCTTTCTCATAGTTCCAGTGTTATTTTTATTCTCTCCATCCTGCCGTCTGCACTATCGTTTCCATGTAAAATCTGCCCCCCAGTTCGCCACTTGCGGTTTGCCGATGTGAAACGAACAGAAAGCCATCACCTGGTAGAACAAAGTGACCAGCGTCCTTTCATGCCAGCTACAAACAAGCTCGCCAATAAACTGTAGCACTCTTGAGTCTTGCCTGACCGTGTTTGCGGCGAGAGTTGAGTTGAGGCATCATTGTATTCGGTTTTCACCGACCTCCACACACGGCCACACACACTGCTCCTGCAGATGCTTCCTTCGTCCCACAGTGCACGAAGAGGAAGAAAAGATGATGAATTTGATGGCGAGTGCAGCAGAAAGGCGACGTCTTGAACGGTTTAGCCGCAAATCGGAGGGGCCCGTTGAGCTTTTCCCACGGCCATGGGCGACGGCCATGGCGCCACATGGCCGATGGCTACTCGCTAACTTCCACCTGCGGAAACCGCCCCCAAAAAAGTTCAGACGTAGTCGTGCGCTCATCATCTCGCTTACGCTCTCACGCTGTCGCCATCTCGCGCCACTTCCGCTCCAGTTCCCGCCATCTTCCCCAGCCTTTCCTTCGCTGCTCCTCTGTGGAGTGCCACCATGAGTTCATAAATACGAGGTTGGTATGGTATGGCCGTTTGCTCACTATCACCACGAATCCGGTGTAAAGCTCACCTCACCTCACCTCTCGTTATGCTCGGCGGCGGCGGAGTAGGAGGGGGGAAGAAGCCGCCTCCGCCGGGAGTCCACCCTCGCTACGTCCCGAAGAGGGGCTCGGTGCTGAAGGGGATCGTGCGCCGCATGCTCGGCCTCTTCGTCTTCCTCCTCCCGCAGCAGGGCGGGGGCGGAGCGGCGAATGGCAGCGGCGGCGGCGGCCGCGTGCGCCCGGCGGCGCCTCCGGTGGATGATGGCGGCGAGCAGGGGAAGTAGGTCACCCACGGTATATATCGATCGTTAGACCGGGTTATCATGTCCCATCCTTTTATCTGGGCCGTTCGTTAATGGTTTGAATAGTAGCTGTTATGTTTTTCCTCCTATTATTGCAGGGATTCATGTCACAGATTAATACGGTCTTACATATTCGTACTACTACTATGCTTTCCCTCGTATTATTGCAGGGATTATGTAACACGTGCTTGATATTTCTACAGTTTGGAAAAGTTCAGTTTTTCTTTTTCATTCTGTTGTGTTTGTTTCTGCAGAAGTGCAGAGGATTTTTACAGGAATACTCAATTCTTCATCTTCAGGTGCTGTGAACAAACAAACAATCGCACCCTTTGCCTCAACAAGGGAAAATGGGGCAACTTCTGCCACCATAATTACCATTGATATTCTTGCAGTTGCTTACAAAAATTACTGTGCCATAATTATCATTAATATTCTAGCAGTTGCTTACAAAAATTACTGTAGAACAATCATGCTGTGGTAACTGGTTACTGCCATCTGTATCTGCAACTGCTAGAGAGAAAACTGCACATGGTCAAAGAGACTCGTTCATATGGTGAGGTAAAATGAATCATTACCCATCCGACGAATGTCTACAATATCCTTCCACGGCACTATCTATCAAAGATTACATGCTATCCCTGTTTCTTTGTTTCTGCTACTGAAATATTAGTGGTCAATCCCATGATTGCATATTTGCAGTCAATGCCAATATGTCATGGCTGCACTGATACCAGTTGGCGAACTTGGCGAAGCCATCATCTATTTCTCAGGTTTCCAGGATTTGGGCACAGAGGTTCTCAGCTTAAGTGGATGCTGCAGTGGAGAAGGCAAGATCAGAAACAACTTTCCACACAGGCTGCATTATATTGGCAGTGACCAAGAATACTACAGCGATGATGAAACGAATGAAATTCCAGTTTACATCAACATCTACACGAGCCAGAGCTTCTTGATATCACTATATTACTACCCAATTGTACTCATCACTATGAGCTATTTTAACCTTACTGAATTGATATATACATCTACTTCAATATAGAGGTTCCACAATGTCAGATGAGTCATTTGCAAAGGTTACCTGTCAAAGATGTCTCCACCTAGTAAGAAGCTTCTGTCAAGCAATTGCACTGTAATCTTCTAGAATTGATTACCTTTAACTTTCTTGTACCTCTTTGGGAAAAGTTCATCGCCCTCAAGAACTACTTCTTTATGCATTTGTTCCCATATTGCTCCAAAATGGCTATGAAATTTATCTTGAATCCATGCTTTTATCTCAGGATAAAGAAAATCTGGATTAAAATTCCACACATCTCTTAATGCTGCCCGGCTATCTATTAACTTTGAACCAATCTTCATCCTGTCAAGAAGATCACCAACTCTTCTTTGGCTAACAGGCCCTAGGAGAACAGATGGTGACAGTGCCAGGAACTTCTGAATAACCTTAAGACATGGCAAGACATCTCCTTTAAGCAAAGCACATGCAAATACCTGCAACCGATTGGTGCCATCCTGTATAGGTAAACTATGCAATGGAAGCTGCCAATTATGCCGAGAAAAGATGGGGCTAACATAACAGTAGACTTGGTCCTTTTGAGGTTCGTAATAAGGTTTTGGATCTTCCAATGGTGCAGAGAATGTACAAAGAGAACTAGCATATTTCAAAATCCATCCTGGCTTTACACTGGTTACACCATGCATATATGATCTCTTTGTATGAAGTAGTTCCGAGTAAACTACAAATTCTGGTGCAATTCGTGCAACAGAAGATGATCGGTGTAGATATATTGTATCATTGAAAGCACAAGATTGATAATGAACAGCCCGAACCTTTTTATCATCTTTTGATGGTCCAGGAAAGGCACGAATCCTCTTTGCAACCCTATCAGCCCACCCAGCACATATTCCTTGTCCTAGAAGCTCCTCTTCATTTAATTGCATTGGTTTTTTATCAGACTCATGCCTCCAGGCCTCTTCTACATCTTCAGAAACCCCAAATTTCCAAGAAAATTCTTCACAAAATTTGCTATGGTGAAATATTAATCGAAGAAGTTGCTTCCTCAATTTTGACATCTCTTCCATTGTTTTGAGATGAAGTGAGTTGACTCTGCAAAATTCCACTGGGTTTTCTGACAACTCAAACAACTGCAAGGCACGAGAGATGGATAAAGCATCACTGCTAGGATTGGAAAATTTTGTGTGGGCCTCTCTAACCATCGCCTTGAGCTTCTTCTGTCTCTTCCTTTCCTGCCTATCCTTATCTTCTGAATCAGGGTTATCTTGTTTTGATTCACCACTAAATTCATTCTGCGTGAGAAAAGGATTCGTAAAGCTCAATGCTGATGCAGCAGCTGCTGCATATCCCAATATGAAGTTAGGTCTGGAAAAGCACCGCTGACTGTTCAAAATTTTAACTATTGTCAGAAGAAGTCGAGAATGTCGGGGGCTCATGGGGTATTGTGCCATAGCCTTCCCCATCAATGTAGGTTCACCCTTGCTATCAAGCGCTTCCAATACTTTTAAGCAACGCTCAGCTTCAACCAAACTTTCCTTGTCAGGAGGTGTAGGGAAAGGAAAGTTTTCAACCTGTAATTATCATGAATTGCATGAAACAACAGAGAAAAGAAAGATAATAAGTCAAAAGAACCTATAATCTCATAAGGATGAGTAACTTGCAAGCACATTACCTTATTAATATTCATAAACTTGAGCATAAGCACAACACCATCGACTGGAATATTCTTGATCTCAGGCTCAGAGAACTCAGGGAATAATTCATCTTTACCATATGCTGCAGCCGAGTAGAGATGGTAACAGTGCCCAGGCCCCGTTCTTCCAGCTCTCCCAGAACGCTGGGATGCAGATGCCTTGCTTATCCACTGGATTTCATAACTTGCCATCCCAGTAGCATGGTTGTAGTTCTTAACTTTTTGTTTCCCAGTATCAACTACATACTTTATGCCAGGAATTGTTAAAGAGGTTTCTGCAACATTTGTTGCAACAACAACTAATCTTTCACCGTCAGGAATATCCTGAAACACTCGAAGCTGCTGTGAAGCTGGTAACATAGCATAAAGTGGTAACACACGAAGTTTACCATGCGAAACAGACCTAGGTTCTGTGCATTTACTGGTACAAGGAACATGACTTGACTCTTCTAAAATTGTAGCATTGCTTGGTACATCAGTGCTTTCCGGTTCTCCTGACACTCTTGATATAGCCTTAAATGATGCCTTCAATCCAGATGAACCCTCAGCACCTTTCAAAAATGCTAATACTGGTCCATCCTCTTCTGTGGTTTCATAAACAGAATCATCATCCTCACTGTCGGTATCCATCTCAGGTTCCATTTCAATGTCTGAAGAATCTACACCTGGGCCAGCATTACTCTCATCCTCATCATATTGGGAAAACATGTCATCTTGGTGCTCAGACTCATCTCTATCAATATCATATGCTTCACTGATTTCCCTCTCGACCACTTCTTGGCTCGAGCCATTCTCATCACCCTCAACTTTTTCAGTCTTCTTGTCAGTTTGCTGCTTTGATGCTCTTTGCAGTTTCTTACATAAGTAATCGACTTCTCGTTGTCCAGTAACAAAGACAAGGATTCCACCTTGTGGAAGTTTCTTGTGGATGGACATAACCTTTTTATAAGCTTGCCCCAAATAATCGTCATGTGTACTCTTTGAGAAGTGAACTGTTACTGGGAATTGTCGTACAGGTACCTTTATAGCTGGTGGGATCACATCAAACAATCTTCTGTTTGAAATGAAGTCCTTCAATTGCAAGGTAGCACTCATTAGCACCACTTTCAACTGACTAATCTTATCTTCTGGATTAATGCTCAGACCACAACGTATTTTTTCCTGTTGCTCTATGTACAATGACTGTCATGTGCATAAATGTTAACAATGGTTATATATATATATTTTCTTTCATTCTAATGAAAACGATGAAAAGTATTTAGTTTCAACCTTGCGAATCTTTATAATTCTAGATAGCATCCCGATAAGTATATCTGTGTTCAAGCTCCTTTCGTGCGCCTCATCCAAGATGATTACAGAATAGCGTTTCAGCAGAAAGTCACTCTGCGGATGATTAGTAAACCATGTGATTAGCAGGATTCTGATATACGTCTAAAAATAACTTCAAACTAAAAGGAAAATAAATACATAGACATTTCAGGATGATCAATCACATGCTGTACCATTTTATAAAGCAATTATGGAAGCCATGATTGAGTGGTTATAGAAAAATATGGATGGCGATTAATCAAGTGTCAAACAGAATAGCTGGTAGGAAAACTAAACCTTATTAGGGCAGTTATGCTGTCCAGGGAACAAGGGAGACTTGCAGTATCGACAGTTATGACCTTGAATGTTTTCCCTTAGGTGCATTTTCTAATCATGCTTAACTGTTAACCTTTTTCTTTCACAAGTTAATCATGGTAACTAATAAGTAGAGTGAAGAAAACATGTCTCTTCAATAAATAGACAATATAGGAGTAGCCAAGACAAGTAATCAGATTGTTACCTGGACCTCTCGAAGCAAAATGCCGTCTGTCATAAACTTTATTGAGCATTTACTTCCTACCATTTTATCATGCCTAACTTGAAAACCGACCTCCTTTCCTAGCTTAAGACCTAGCTCATAGGACACCCTCCTAGCTGTGGCAAGTACGGCAACACGTCGTGGTTGAGTGATACCAATTATTCCTTTTCTGTCAGACCGGTTACTTGTGCCAAAGCCAGCTTCATACAAGAACTGCAGACAACAAGAAGCATATAATGAGCAATGAATACAAGCAGATGGTATCTGAAGGTGCACACACTTACCTGTGGAACTTGAGTAGTTTTACCACAGCCTGTTTCTCCACATAGAATTACCACAGAATTTTCATAAATAGCTTCCATTATTTCCTGCTCCATCATTATTATTGGAAGATCCCTCCTTGTTTTCTCAACCTCATGTGGCCTTGACACAGGTACAACAATTGGAGGATTGAAACACTCTTGTACAGTACGTTCTTCTTGTCCTGGCTCTTTATCCTAACAAAAACAGGATTACAATAACTCTGAAATGAACCAAACAGCTTCTGACTGCAATACCACTAAAGCAACAGGTGAATCCAACATTTTTTACAAAAAAAAACATGTAGAAATTGATGAACAGGTGAAAAAAAACACAGTACAGCTGTAGACTGATCACCTGTAATATCTCTTCACCAGAACAACTAGGAACACATGATTGAATTGCCTGATTTGCTGAAATATTCGGAACACCATCACTACCTTCAGTTTTTGGTTCTTGATCGCTCAGTCCAACATCTATAACCAGTTTGCATTCCACAGGTTTCATTGCAACATTATCTATGTGATTGTTACATTTTCTTTGAGGATCCTCGTTTTTTGCTGAATCGACAATCTTGTCCAGGTAATCTTCCTCTGCAGCCTCGCTGTTTTCAGAAGCTTTCTGATCGCCGTCTTTCTTTAATAGTGAGAGTTCTTCAGGGACGTTCAAACCAGCCTTGGAGAAGTGCACAGCACGCCTACGTTTTTCTTTCAAGGTCTCAGCCTGCAGTAGAATAAATGTCTATTGAAGCTTTGTTTTGTACATTGAGAAAACAGCGAATCCAAGAATTATGGCTATATCTACTATACTTGACCGATAGTCCCAGAAGCATGGAGCAGAGAATACGCATCATCTGAAATCTTGTGCTTCCTGTCATGCAGGACAACCATCAGAATACACTATACTATCAGTCCAGACAGAGTAAGTAAAGACTAACATACCGCAAAATCTCAATACTTTGAGCTTGCAGTAACTTCTTTTGCTTTTCCTCCTGGAGATAAGAAAAAAATGATTGGCATTAACATAAACACTATGACCAATGATCAACAAAAGGAATGTCAAGAAGGGAGGCGCACCTCCAAATTCTGCAGCTTTTTCAGCTTACTCTTGCTCATCTTCGGGTCTTCCTTGATTTTCTTACCATCCTGGCAATTCAGGTAGCATAAGTCACACATCACACCCCCAAACAGTAGGTGGAAATAAAAATGGCAGCACCTTGTCTTTCCCTTGTCCTTTGTTCTTCCTCTTGCACGGCAGAATCAGCGTGTTGCTGTCCTCCATGCTCGAACTACAAGCAGAGCAAAGCAGAAAAATCTCACAACCGATGCAGACGAGGGACATCCGAGCCAGTGAGCCCGGGAAGGAACTCACCCTGTAAGCTGGTGCTCACCGACGTCGGCAGCGTCCGCGAGGGGGCAAGCCGGCGGTGCTGGCCCGCGTGGTGAAATTGGACACCTCCCTCCCTCAAGGGACAACTCGCTGGAGCGAGCTGATGCTCCGGCAGAGAGAAGCCGGTGCGCCGCCGACGCCGCCGCCGCCGCCGAGCCTGCAGCCCTCGGAGGTGGAAGCGATGGGAGAGGCGGCGGCGGCGGCGATGGACCTAATCGAAGAGTAGAGGGGATCCAGTTTGGGCCGGGCTTGTTTGTGACGCCTAATGGGCCGAAGGAGAAAGGCCCATAAAAGCCCAACGACATTTCGTCATTTCCCCTGCTTGTTCATCCGGCTACCGGGTCGCGGCCGTCGACGAGACACGAGAAAGGCGACGACCACTGCCTCCTCCACTCCTCCAGATCGCCGCCGCCGCCGCCATGGGGGGCGGCTCCACGGCGCCCCTCCTCGCGGCCTTCGCCTGCGTCTTCCTCGCCGTCTTCCCTCCCGTCGCCTCCGGTGAGTTGGTCCTCTACTGACCATCGCCGAGTCTATATCGCTTTGTTTGCTCTGGACTCTGGGGTGTAACAAATTCTACCGAATCGAGATGGTCTCATGCTTCGTTGGGTATCTTCTGTTATGTGATGCGTTTCTAGGGTGAAATTGTGTAGGGGGTAGGTCTCAGCGTAGCCTTGAGGTGAATTAGGTAGTGGACTGCTAAACCTAGTTAGTTCTGAAGCTTGGGCGAACACCTCCGTTGTTGTGCTGATAGGCCTCTAGTTGTGCTCATGGAGCTTTGACATGCGACTATAATTTTTTTTCTAGTATCTCATTCTAGGAAGTTTTGTGATTGCTAAAGTATTGTGATGTCTTAGGTGTAGGTTTGTTTAGGTTCATTTGAATTATAAAATCGTGATACTGCTTACTGTCTTAATATATTTATATATGGGACACAGGTTTGCAAAGCAACGTAAGATATCCCAACTTATGACTGCTGTAACATTGATGTACCATAACTTAAGGATCCTCTTACCTTTCTTTTTAGGAGATGCTGCAACGTTGGAGTCAGTTCCGGATCTTGTGAAGGCAATGTACATAAACGTTGAAAGCTTCCCTTGTGTGAGGCTGTTGAATCACTCTGGTCAAGTCGGTTGTTCTAGTGAGTATTCGGTTTACTCTTATTCTGTATGCTTAAATTAAGATGGCTGTCATTTTCTATCATCATTGTCAAAGGCTAGCCAACTCTGCCTTGTTAAGAGTACATGGTTATTGGGGTCTCCATTATGTAATCAGATCCTGGGCATGACAAGGTTATTGCACCGATTGTAAGATTTGGAAACAGAAATGATCAGTTGGTTCAGCCGTCGGCGGTTCTTCTTCCCTTAAATCAGATGACAGATTTCTTTCTGAGGTATAATTGCTTAGATAGTCTAAATCTCACAAATGATGTTACATATGATCGTCTTTCAAAGTTATGTTTCCTTGAGGTGCTAAGAGATGAGAATATTTGCTACATTGTTTGCTCTTGTGCAGGGTATCCAATGATCCAGAACTTTATCGTAAGATAGCTGGCGTACTAGTTGAGGCAAATGGCGTTGATAACATGCTAGGTTTGTGGATTTGTTTTTTTTATGTATTTTATTGCCTTTTAATTCCAAAAATAATGTACTGTTCTGACTTTGTAGAGTTTTCACCGGATAGAAAATTTCCACAACAGGCTTTTGCACCATACTCAAATCTCAGCCATCATTGGAATCCCACGGTAAGTTATGCGGTTGATTAAAATGGTACCACCCTGTTGAGAGACAAACGTGATCAGCTGATCACATGCATTGAATATCACTCTGTTACCCTGACATTTACTTTTGTAGGGATCAGGTATTATGTGGAACAAATATGACTTTCCTGTGTTTCTTCTCTCAGAGGAGAGCACACAGACTCTGCAAAACGTATTCTGCCTGCTCTTATATATTTATTATAGTTCTCATTTCTTCTTTACAAACTCCAGCTACACAATGCAATGACTCTAAAAAGAGATTATCAATAACAGCTTGCGGACAAGAATGAGAAGAGTGCCAATGGATATCTAGCAAATGTTGCAGAATTTGACCTCGTTATGCAGGTTTTGATTTTTCACATGAAATGTTCTCCCTATGTTTCTTGCACATCTTTATCTGTATGTTTTGATCGCATGGATAATGGATTATGTTTCTCCTAATTGACATGAACTTTTAGACAACAAAAGCTGGGACGCATGATTCAGAGTCCTGCCTCAGAGAGCAGTCATGCTTGCCTTTAGGAGGACAGAGGTGACCACTTTTTTTTTCTTGCATAGGCATTTGCACCTCTGTTTTGGAAAGTTATGGATATATTTAAGTTCCACAATGTGTTGTGGTAGTTGCTACCTTGCCAACTGAGTATTATCGTCTTCTGTTAGCTAGTTTTTGTTTCAACTTTTGGTTCTCATGTTTGAAGGGCAGTGTATGGACTTCGTTACCACCAATCAGCAATTCATCTACAAAGCATCAGAAACCAATAATAATGGTCACTGCATCCCAAGACTCTGCATCATTCTTTCGGGACCGTAGTCTTGGTGCTGATTCTCCCATCTCTGTAAGTTCCTACTAATTTGTGGGTATGATAACTGCATCTTACATTATAGTTCTATGAAATAACTATGGAGTTATGCACAGGGATTGATTGCCTTGCTCACTGCTGTTGATGCTCTCTCTCACCTTCATGATATAAGTAATCTTAAGAAACAGGTAAGATTATTACTACTAGAAATTATTCTGTAAGTTGTGTGCATGTTATTGCATTGGGTTCTTTTGCATCTGTCATCTGCTAGAGCAGTGTTGCAGGTCTACTCTAGCTACTTTGTGTTTCTTTTGTGAATTATGATACTCATTTTGAACTTGCAGCCCTTGACATCTCAATCATTGTCCTTTATCTAAGCATGGCGTGGTAGATTTAATATGGCTATTCATATCTGGTTTAGTATGGATTTGTGGTGATTGATTCCTAAATTGTTGTGTTCTTATTCTCACATCATACCACATGATATGCAGCTTGTTTTTGCTGTTTTCAATGGTGAAGCCTGGGGTTATCTTGGTAGCCGGAAATTCTTACAGGAATTAGATCAAGGGGCTGACTCTGTTAATGGCATTAGCAGCTTATTGATTGACCAGGTGAGTGCTTGATAGGATAACGCTTGCAATTGCAGCACTAAATCATTTGCAAATGCTTTCAAACATATAGTTTTCCTTGGATGTCCCTTGCTTCAGGGTATTGTCCTTCTGCAGTTTTTTAGGTTGTGGACTTAATGAATTTAAACCTGTGAAATTTACCATATAGTCCTGAGTCTTCAGGCGATACATATATCTGTCTCTACACAGTTCCATAACCTAATTATATGATTATTTAGGCAAGTATCTGTCTACATTGTTCCATAACTTAATTATATGATTATTTAAGCAAGTGCTTTGGACACGATTCAGGTCTTGGAGATTGGTTCCGTTGGCAAGGCCATAAGTCAGGGATATCCACTATTTTATGCGCATGCTGCAGGGGTAAGCCTTTTTTGTGGTTATTTCCCCTGCCTGTTCTTGGTGAATGTAATTGCTTATTCAAAATGTTTTTTTTTTCAGTTCCTGTTAGTGTCATAGTGGTTGATACCCCACTCTGTACAGGCTATTTTAGTTATTGGAGATGGATAAACAGAAAGAATTTAGGCACAGTAGATGGGGGCCTGTGGACATCCATATGTATAGTTTAGGTTTCAGTGTTGCATCAGAATATTCCTTTTTGTCGAATATCTCAGTGAACTATTTTTTATCATGACTTTATATGAAGATATTTTATTCTGGAGAGATTTATCAAAATATTTGTTCTCAAATTCTTGAGTAAAGCACACTGGGTGTCCAAAAAATAGCTGTACATTGGAATTTAAAACACCATAGGCATTGTTCCATATTGTTCATATTTATCTTCTGCTTTGACAGAATTCGTCAATTTCGATGAAAATGGTAGATGCACTCCAAAGTGCCAGTGAATCACTTGGTTCTGATAATGTTAAAGTAAAACCAGCAGCTTCATCAAATCCTGGTGTTCCACCATCTTCATTAATGTCGTTCCTAGGAAAGGTAAAACCTCAAATATCCATAAACATAACCATTTGCTTGATAGTATTGCACTCAATATGCAACACATTAATTTAGTGATGTTCCATCTTTTTTTTTCTTTTTTCATTAGAAACATTGATTTTTCCAAACAAATATTTCTCTTTGAAATCTGAGTGCCATGACCTGTTCACTGTTAACCCATCAATAATGCAGAATTCATCAACTCCTGGACTTGTCTTGGAGGATTTTGATTCCCAATTTTCTAATAGATTTTACCACAGCACTTTGGATGGCCCTGGTAAGTTCACCATGCAGAGATCTGATGATTTCTTTTGTAGAAACCCAGGATTAAACCTGTAATGTCTTTTTTTTACAGCAAACGTCAATTCTTCGTCAATAGCAGCTGCTGCTGCTTTGATTGCCAGATCATTATACATTCTTGCTAGCGCAGACTTGCCCATTGATCTCATCACACTGAACACTATTAAAGTGAATGTTTCACTGGTAGAAGAATTGATTGGATGTCTACTGAAATGTGATCCTGGTCTTTCTTGCGGAATTGTGAAGAGCTTCATTTCTCCAAGCAACTCATGTCCAAGTCACTATGTTGGTGTTTTTCAGGATTTGCCTGCTGGCACACAGTTTCCTTCATATGCAGATGATATCTCTCGGTTTATATGGAACTTTTTGGCAGACAGAACTTCTAGTTTGGCAGGTAACAGTAGCTCTTGTACTGGACAGTGCCATGATGAAGGCGAAATATGTGTAGGGGCAGAAGTGGAAGGTGGAGGCAGATGTGTTGTATCTACAACTAGGTATCTTCTTTTCTTGAGACGCATACTCCCTTCTAGAACTAGGTAACATTTTTCTATGGGCCCTTTTAGAACGTTGAAATCAAATCCCTACTGTGCGTTACTTATTTGGGTGACAGGCATTAGCGGTTTAATTATGAACTAGGCAATTATAAGTGTATGCTTAGGGATGCAAGTGGGCAATCCCTCTACTCATATAAAAACCCGCTTAATAGTTCATTTTCTTGCTTCTAGTACAAAATTTGGAAGAAAAAATTAACTAGAATTGTGATAAGGGCACACTTGCATCCCTATGTATGCTGGAGCATCCATAATCCAGTTAGTTTTTGTATATAGAAAGAAATAAAATTTGCTGACACTAAAGTAATTTTGACTCGCACTCTTTTTTGTGTTGATTAACTAACATGTACTGGTGTTGATTAACTAACATGTACTGAATTTTGTTATCATGCTTGTATTTTTGTGGTGATTGGTTGCTGTTGTACTCTCTATTTCTACTTGGAGATTTACTGATTGCTTTATTAACTTTCTTGACAACTTAGATATGTCCCTGCCTATTCAACGCGGCTGAAGTTTGAGGACAATGTATGGCATGTTCTTCCAGTAAACTCTTCAGACCCTTTTAGTGCTGCAGATCCTGTGTGGACCGAAAGCTTCTGGAATACAATTGGCCTCAGGGTGTATGCAGTGCAAGCTACATCTTATGATTGGCTTGTTCTTCTGATCGGGATCATTATTACGGTGGCATCATACTTTGCAGTGATCGTTGGCAGATCATACATTTCAAAGATCATAAAGCGGGACTAAAACATCATCCATTCCCTCCATTATTTCTGAGACCTTGGTCCATCAGATCCTACCACCAAAGCCATCTCTGTAAGGTGCTCTGGGAATTTTGAGAGTTGGAACAGAACTAATAGTCTAACACATGAATTAAGTCGGCAAATCTTAGATGCAATGTGGCACATGGCGATAGGGAGAGGATTTGTAAAACTACAAAAGCCATGTGGAGCCTTCCAGCTAGAAGGAGATGTGATCCTACTACATGATACATGACACCGACCTACAGGCTGTTGTGATTTGTACTGATGTTTCTGGATCTGCTTGGCTGATTGGCTCTGCATTGGTAGGTATAGGTAGATGGATGATGCCCCTCTGGGAGGATGTATGCTGTGGATTAGTGCTGGTTATGCACGTATCATCTTTGAGTTTTGGCTGTGTACGTCTCTCCAGTCCTATTTTCCTACTGTGTTGGGACCAGTTGAGTATTGTGCTGGTTTACGGAACCTTATCGATATCATGTCAAGAACTGTCCCTATACAATTTTAAATAACTGAAAAGCTCAGATTCGCCATGTGCAACATGCTGTTTGTACACTCTATCCAACTCGATCCTCTATCCATTTGGTCCGTCACCTAGAGTTTTTTTTCCCCAGTTTTCGACGATTAGTTTTTCATCAAATACGACAGAATTCCAGTGTATAGGTATTACTGTATTAGTGGCTGAAAGGTTAAAATTCTCCAGTTAATAAGGCTGTGTTTAGTTCACACTTCCATGGATGAACCAACGTCAACTGACGAACAAAAAGAAGGGACGGATGGGGGATTCCGCCATGTGCGCCAGGTCGGGACAACGGAACCACCAGTGACCGGGCGTGACGTGTTCGCAGCTAAAACTAATTCTAAAATCATGATGCTGATCTCGGCGTGACGTGTTGGCAGCTAAAACTATTCCAAAATCAAGGATTAGGACTACCGAATGGCACTAGCTGCCGTGGAGAATCTCTATGCATTGTTTCTCCAGTGTTAACATCGTTTCTCCTTGGCACGCTAAGCTTTCCAATTCCTGCTAAAATTTTATTACCTTTTTGGACGAAAGGTGGTGATTACCCCAAGTACAAGGAACTAAAAACAAATTGTCATACTCCAATATAGCAATAATAGTCTGAAACAACTTGTAGTGTCTGTTTCCATGTTGCTTCTTGTTAATGTAGGGTGACAGCTAGGATAATTGAGAGTTGACACGTAAGGCAGCTTCGTTACGATGCTTGCTTTTAGATGCCTTATAAAACAATTTACGATTTGCTAAAAATCCGATCTAATTATGATAACATTTGCCATTTTTTCCTTAAATCAAGCGATGTTTATCTTCCCATAAATGGTTGAATGAGCAAGGTGTGGGAAAAAAAAAGGAAGCTTTGATCAGTTTTTTTTTATCGAGCTATCTTTAAAATTATTTTTCATAATTTATTATATTTTCTCCATCATTTGAGACTATTTCCCTTAACGAGCTGGGAAGCCGAACCGAGGCAGGATGAAAACAACTTCCATTCAAAATTAAATAGTAAATTTTATTTTGAAAGAAAAAATAGATTAATGAGAGCAAGTTTGTACCAAGCTAACTAAACGAGCTTTTATTTTTTTTTCTCCAAATCCAGAATGCTGCAATCCAATTGATAATCACATTTACCACCGGATAACCTCATGTTTTAGATAACTCAAATGGCGAAGCATGCGTGCGATTAAAAAAGTTCGTTAAAAACGCTATAAAAGGCGGCGGTGCCTTTCTCCTTCATCCGTGATACTCCCAAAGATTCTTATCGATTGAAGAAAAAAAAAAGCCGGAGAAAAGGATAGAGAGGGAAAGCAACCAGCCATGGAGTCGCTGACTCTCCGGGCATCGCCGTCGACGGCCGCGCCGTTGCGCCGCGTCCCCGGGCGGCGGCACGCGGCGGTGTCCGTCCGCGCCTCCGCCGGCGCCGGCGAGCCGGACCTCTCCGTGCGCGTGAACGGGCTGAAGATGCCCAACCCGTTCGTGATCGGGTCGGGGCCCCCGGGCACCAACTACACCGTCATGAAGCGCGCGTTCGACGAGGGGTGGGGCGGCGTCATCGCCAAAACCGTAATCCTCTCAACCCTCGCAACCGCAATTCTCCTGGATGGATGACTTTTCCTGCTCTAATTTTCCGTTGAAACAGCGCACAAGGATAGGATCTATGTGATGTAGTTAGCATTTCAGTGTTTGAGATAAGTTCGCGTATTAACGAGAGTGCCTTTTGGCTGTATGATTTGATTCCGATCTGGGTTGGGTTTGGAGTGGGAGTGGGAGTGGGAGTGGAGGTGGGGGCCAATTCAAGCTCACTTGAAAACAGGTAGCTGCTAACATGATGTCAGGAAAGGTGGCGGTGTGAGTTTGCTATTTTGGTTGCGGCAAAATCGAATCATGGAGTCGTGGCTACGTTAGATTTGGTGGTGGATCTTATGATAGGTTTTGATGGGTGGCCATACGAGAATTGATAGATTGATGGGTGCCGGATGAGAATTCAGTTAGTTATATATATGGCTGGTTAGAGTTAGGATCTTTGCATATTCTAGGAGAATTTGGTCTGTATGTACTACTTGTGTTCACTATGACTGACTACTGACAAACGTCTTGCTTGAAGATGAGATGGCCTAATTTTTGTGAGATGAGCATTGCATCCTCAGTATTAAACATGAGAAATTAGTTTCAATTTCTTTTGTTCTGCATTAACCCTTTGCAATCATCATTTCCACCTTTTTCACATACACATTGTTGTTTCCATTGTGCATAGTGCCTTTGCAGTCATCACTTTCACCTATCACTTCCAACGGTTGAATCATCAACTTTGTGGCTAATTGTTGGTATGATTATGAATGGTAGGTATCCTTGGATGCTGAGAAAGTTATCAACGTAACCCCTCGCTATGCCCGGCTCAGGGCGGACCCCAATGGATCTACTAAGAGTCCTATCATCGGATGGCAGAACATTGAACTTATCAGTGATCGGCCTCTAGAAACTATGCTGAATGAATTCAAGCAACTGAAGAAAGAGTATCCTGACAGGATACTCATTGGCTCAATAATGGAGGAGTACAACAAAGCTGCATGGCATGAGCTTATTGAACGCGTTGAAGAGAGCGGAGTGGTAACCTTCCCTTATGTGCATTTTGGTGCATTCTTGGTCGAACTTATCATGTTGGAATGTTAATGATCTGTTTCTATCAGGATGCTCTTGAGATTAATTTCTCATGCCCACATGGCATGCCAGAGCGAAAAATGGGTGCTGCCGTGGGACAAGACTGTGACTTGTTAGAGGAGGTCTGCGGTTGGATAAATGAGAAGGCTACAGTGCCTGTTTGGGCAAAGATGACTCCTAACATTACAGATATTACAAAGGTTAGTCAAACATATACATCTTCGCAGCACTTAAATGAGATCCTAAATTAGTTTTTATCCCACCCGGTTTTCACATTGTTTTGGACATCGTGTTCGCGAATTATTATTTAGCGTTCGTGTAACATGTTTTGGACATCTCTTGAAGCCCTAGCATCACCATCTATGGAATTACCACTACATTAGAATACCAAGATTTAGGTGCTTTTTAAGATCTACCAAGAATTAGTTTTTTTTATGGGTCAATGTTTTCATTCCTTACTTGCATTGTGCAGCCTGCAAGAATTTCTCTTAAGTCAGGATGTGAAGGAGTTTCTGCTATTAACACAATCATGAGTGTGATGGGAATTAACCTCAAAACTTTGCGACCAGAACCTTGTGTGGAGGGGTTAGATTCAATTCCCTGAGTTCTTTTTTTCCCTATGGAACATATTCCTTTACTGTTACCATTTTTTTTCTTATAAAAACCACTTGATTCCACAGTTATTCCACGCCTGGAGGCTATTCTGCGAGAGCCGTGCACCCTATAGCACTTGCGAAAGTCATGCAGATAGCAAGGATGATGAAAGAAGAATTTGCTGATGGACAGTCACTCTCTGCTATTGGAGGCGTGGAGACTGGCAATGATGCTGCTGAGTTTATTCTACTTGGCGCAGATACAGTACAGGTAAGCTCTAACATGGTACTAATGTTAGTATTATGCATGTTTATATTCTACTTGATGCTGCTGTTATTACACATGTTTCCAATCTGGCAACCTATGTGGCTCCCTTTACTATGGATTTTGAAGATCATAATGTGTGCTGCTCGTGTACAGTTGATGTTGAATTATATTCTAGATTTTTTCAGGCATCATTTTTGCAATTAATTGATTAGCTCCATGCTTATCTTGAACAGCATAATAATAAGACTTGACTAATGGCCATTCATTGTAGGTATGTACGGGCGTAATGATGCATGGTTATGGCCTTGTAAAGAAGCTTTGTGCAGAGCTGCAGGATTTTATGAGACAACACAACTTTTCCTCAATAGAAGATTTCCGGGGGTATGTTATCACCACTTCCCTTCTTCTGACTCTTGTTGATTTGTTGTTGGAAATCATCTGGAGAAATCACCTTAGTTTAGAGTACTGTACTATGATATGTTGCCTACGAATGAACTTAGGAAGAAATGGAAAATCACCAACATGAGTGTTCATGAAACTTTTCTTGTAAAAGAACATGCTCAGGGGGGTTACACATCTTTTCTTGCAGTTTTATTTTCCACATTTCTAAGTAGAAGCAAGGACGGGACACTCTATTGTTAAAAACAGACTTGAGGTAATGATTGAAGGCAGACTTATAGGTTGTTAGCGGTAGTCATTATGGGCTTGAACCTTCATTATGACATGTTTAGGCAAGCCTTCCAATGGCTCTGCCTTGCACGCCTGACCCTACTATGTGTGAATGGTGTAGATTAAAGTCTTGTGTACCTTATGATTAATTCTGTGTCACTTTGGCCTTGTTTTACTCATTCTCAAGGAAGCCTTTCAGAGCTATTGTTTAGTTCGGTACTTTTTCCACTCGCAGAGGACACTAGGACCATCTCTTTTCAAATTGTCGAAAAGCATAATGTTGTTTTATTGAACTAAAATATGGTTTATTTTTTTCCTTTGTTAACAAATTATCACTAATCCAAGCTCTTCACATCATCTCAGGGCCTCTCTCCCGTATTTCACCACACACACCGATTTGGTACATCGGCAAAGGGAGGCGATCAACCAGAGGAAGGCTATTAGGAAGGGCCTGGAATCAGACAAGGACTGGACCGGTGATGGATTCGTCAAGGAGACAGAAAGCATGGTGTCCAACTGATTCGACTCTGAACTCACACCCCCTTCCACCATACTTCCAACTTGTGATTAAACAGGGACCATGTTCAGCCCAAAACAGCAGAAACTTTTGCATCATCTCGTTCAAATAAAAAGCATACCAAATTACTTCCATCATGTTGTCCTGTGCTTGTCCATTGCAATCCTAATCTGTGCATTTTTGAGTCATAAACTTCGGGTCCTGAATCTGGACCAGGTCAGTAGTTCAGAAGTCGTTTTCTACACTTGATGATTTGTAGCAAACATGCCGTGCTCATAAACTGTTCCATGTGAACATAAAGTCAGGGTCACTGAGCTTTGGGATATCTGGACTTGACCTTGTAAAGCCTCAAGACTTCAAGTCTCTGCTGGACCGTGTGCCTGAGTAAAGTGTGAGCAAACGATGGCATCAGCATCTGGTCAGATTGAGCCGTACATGTCTCTAATCCTTCACACCTGCCGTTTTGTACCTGAGATTCATGCTACAATTATCTGTGGCGCACACTGTCAGAAATTTCAGCATCGATCAATCAGAAATCCGCTGATGAAGAAGGACTTTTTCTTATTACTTCTTCTATCCTAAAATAGAAATTTCAGCATCGATCAATCAGAAATCCGCTGATGGAGGACTTTTTCTTATTACTTCTTCTGTCCTAAAATATAAAGTTTCTAAATAAATATATCAAAATATAAGCATTTTTAACTACTACTATGAATCTAAACATAAACATGTTTATATAAGTATGTCTAGGTAAATAAACCAGAAGTTATATTTTAAAACAAAGTGAGTATTACAAGAAAAACATTTTAGTATGTCTGACGGGGGAAGTTGGAAGTTTAGACCATGGTATTCATGGGAGAACATGAACTCAATTTTTCTCCGTTTACATAAAACTGCATTGAAGTGGTAAGTAGTAGCATAATTCGGATACGTTAAATTGTAATCGCATGGTTTCAATTTCACAAATTTTAATGGTATTTTTCAAAACGGACAAATTTATAGTGACATGGATCCAATTAATATATATATATATATATATATATATATATATATATATATATATATATATATATATATATATATATATATATATATATATATATATATATATATATAGGACACTCATATGGGGCACCATGGTGCCCGGGCAACATGGTATCTAATGCACAAAATTACTCAAATTTTTCAAAATTTTCAAATTGTGAGTATATACCTAGTTATAATAATTTGATTCATACCTATACTTATCAACAAAACAACTCAAATTTAACTTTATTTCACAATCCATGATTACATACCTAACTAATTATATGTATGGATGCTATATACCTAGAATCAAAATCTAACAAAAACAAGTTCAAATTCAGTTCAAACTTGCTTTAAACTAGTTAGTAAAGTAGTTAATGGTAATGCCTAAGTAATTGAAAAAGTTTCATACTCATTTGAATTGGGTATATACTCAATTTCAACAATGGTGCCCGGGCACCATGGAGCACCAAACAAATTTACTATATATATATATATATATATATATATATATATATATATATATATATATATATATATATATATATATATATATATATATATATATATATATATATATATAAGGCTTGTCTTCTGCCTAGTACTGTTAAGGTATGAATTAGTCGATCTAGGTTCGAGTTTCGCCCCTTTCTCAATAAATTTTGATACGAGAGCCCCCTAACGTACACACCGAAGATAAAAGGATCTTGTACCTTATAAATTCCTATTAAAATCGCACACCTATAATCTTGACTACGACAAGATGGTCTATCATTTTCGCACATGACACATGTATACTAATGAGTTCACATTAAGTCGAGATAATTTTGGGGTGCCAAAAACAATGGATGAAACTATTCAAATTACCTCCGAGGGATCCAAAATAAGGTAACTTTTTTCCCCTGGAAGAGCCCAGAGTAAAAAAATACAAGAAAAACTACGAGTCAACCACTGAAACGTTGGTTGCCACCACCATTCCACTAAGTCCGTTCCCATGCCCATTTCTCCCTGCATATTATACATACAATCAACTACCCGCTGATCTGATGAAGTCGCCATTCAAACATCAAGAAGCAGCCTTGTTATCTCAACTAAAAAAATACAGATTCATTCTTGCTTGATTTCATGATTGATAGCTACATATCTTAGTTTCACACCAGGAAACCAAAAAAAAAAAAAGATCCTTGACATCCTTATTATATATAGCCTCTGCCTAAAACCATCATGCTCCTTCAGTTTCCTGGACATGAAGCTGCAATGGCAGCATGTCTGGTCGTAGTCAACTAGCCAGCCACCAAAGAGAGAGCTATCATCCATGGCCGCCGTGGCGGCGGCCGAGAAGGCGGTGAGGTGCCTCGGCCGCGGCTTCGACATGGCCGGCGACCTGAGGCTCAAGTACTGCAAGGGCGGCGGCGCCGGCTGCCTGGTCGAGAGGCGCGGCGAGACGACGCCGCTCACCGTGCCGGGAGTCGGGGTGATCGCCGACGTGCCGGCCGACGTGAGGTGCGACAAGGGCGACCGCGTCCGGTTCAAGTCCGACGTGCTCGAGTTCAACAAGGTTAGCACCTTACCTTGTATTGAGATCATCTACTTTCAAAGTTATCATACCTTTGTCACTGTCATGGGTTCATGGTTTATCAAGCCCACATATCATTGAAAAAGTCACGTGATTTCAAGGGTAGAGGATTTTCATCCAGTGCCGCTATGCCACCATTAATTCACCCTACATGATGATAATATATATGGGTATGGCTATGAATATATATATCATACGTTGGTTTTATTCTATATTTGCTTAGTTTTTTAAAGATAGTTCAAAGTTTTAGATATTTTTGAGTTTTTAAATATGAGATAGAAAATGGGCAAAGCTGAAGATAACTTGCTCGAAGCTGCTCTATTTAGGTTTTTGAACAAAAGGTTGCATTAATTGAGGAAGATATTCGGGTTATTCATAATTTCAGTTGTCAGTATTCACCAAACTGCAGAAGCACCGTATTAACAGAAAATTACTGTTCCAAGAAAAAAGAAAATTACTGTGGTTGGTTATTGGATGCTAACAGAGTTTTCGCTTATTAATATTTTTAGATATTGACACGACATTTGCGGTTCTACGTGTTTCTCACGAACTGTACTTATCATCAACCATATCGGCACTGCCAACATTTTTGCGACAGAAAATAAACACTTGTCCTAATTTTGGTGTCCCATCAGTGTCAAATATTCAGTATCTCAATAAAAGCCGATAAAATCAACTTTACAGGAAAAAAATCCTCTTTTTTTTTCTGAAAGAAGACTTTACAGAAAATCTGAAAAAAGTGATTATGTTTGCTTGGTTCGTTGGTATTAAGTTGCATGCACCTAAAAGCCTAAGCTGATAGGGAAAGGCGGACAATTCACTTTATACACTCCAACACTCCCCCTCAAGTCTCAAGCGTGGAATATTGGAGTGGGCTGTAATTATTTTATTTAATTGCGCGCCAGCCAGGATTCGAACTCAAGACCTCTTACTCTAATACCATATTAAGCTGCATGCACCAGCCAGTTACATCTAAAAACCTAAGCTAATAGGGAAAGGCAGATAATTCACTTTATACACTCCAACAGTTAGGAGTAGTGGTCCTGCTCTAAGTTCAAGTCAAATTTGCCTCATTATCTAGTTTTTTTTAAAAACAAGAGAGTCAAATTTGCCTGTAAAATAGCTACACTTGTACTTGTAAAAAACAGGACAGTGGCACACCTTGAACTGCGACAGGGCCTTTGTTTGACTTTCACCAAAAGAGATCCGTCAAATGTACATCACTGAACAGAATCTTGCCAAAATTTCAGCCTTCCTGAATGTGATCAGTTCAACAATAATCAAAATCAAATAGCATTGTTTCTTTTTAAAAAAGTTTAACCAAATTTGACGCATTCACGCATGCACGCAGATGTCGGAGCTGTTCAACCAGAGGAGTTCGGTGGAAGGGAAGATCCCGTCGGGGCAGTTCAACGCGTCATTCGACCTGGACAGCGGGTCGTGGGCCCACGACGCGCCGCACACCAGGTGCCTCGCTATGGACGGGTACTTCATCTCCCTCTTTGACCTCCGTCTCGACCACCGCCACCTCGCCCTCGATGCAGGTGTCCTCGCCGACGTGCCACCCGCCTGGGACCCCTCTGCCATCGCAAGGTTAGTGGCTAGCTTGTGAGTACTCCTTTCTTTAAAAAAAAGTCTAATTCTAGCTATTAGTTTGAACACGCATGATTTATAGTTAGAATTAAGCTTTTTATGTGACGAATGGTGTAGCTAGCTTGTTGCACGTACACAAATAATTGCATTGCAACTTTACAAGCGCATGCATGCATCTGAAAGCTACCTGCAAATTGCTCCCTTTTCTGAATTCTGAGTGGTCTTGACTGTCCCTTTTCTGAATTCTGAGTGGCCTTGACTGACCCAAGAGTGGTCGATTGGCCCTGCTGCGATTTGAGTGCTGCAAATGCGCGCTCGTGTTAGGATCATGATCTTGATAGGCAACAACAACGCAACACTCGCTAGAAATGTCAGGTCCCAACCAGAGACAAGTAGACAAAAACAATGGGCAGCTGAAAAATCAAAGCGTCGCATGCATGCACCAGCTTTATTCAGTTCAACCCAAAAGTTTAAGCTGATCAGTAAGGATGGACAATTCACAAGGGTGGCTGTTCGAAGCCACACATCTGACCATTTCATATCGAAAGGTACAAATATAGAGTATGCCATTTGGCATGGCTGCGACATGTGGATGGAGATTGAAAATTCTGGATTCCTGTGGGAGTTGGGACAACAACGACGGGGACTTTCTGTCGCACGATCCAGAAGGATTTAAATTAACCTGCAAATTGCAGCCATGAAGATGTACGGAAAATCACTTGCAGATTTGAGAGTTGCAGTTGCTGGACTTGGACTAATTCCAGGTCTGGGGATCTCAAGTCGGTGGCTGAAGAAAGCAGCTCGATTAGATGTCCAAGTTTGCTGCAAAAAAAACTGGGTACTGACTGAATCTATGACAAGACAATGCGTTACCCAGAGAAACGAATAATTCAGTCATGTCCAAATCAGGGTGCTTCATTTCAGATGATTAAATATGATCCAATAATGCATTGACATATACTTCTACACACATACATATTCTATCTTTTTTTCGTATTATATATTTGTCCGTCTTCGTTGAACCGATTACAGATGGTATGAACTCTGCACATGCCGTCATTTGACTAGCGTACACATGATTTGTATTACTAGGCAGAGCCGTAGCTTTCAGAGAGAGTTCTGAACTGACGATGCTGCCGACACCATGTCACAATGTAGTCGATCATGTAGCAATCAATCGTTAGAACGCTAATGACTTGTTCACGCAACACATCCAAGATTAACCTGATCCTGATTGATTGATGCATAATTGCGTATGCAGATTCATCGAGAAGTATGGGACGCATGTGATCGTGGGGCTGAGCATGGGCGGCCAGGACGTCGTCTACGTGAAGCAGGATAAGTCGTCTTCTCTGTCGCCGTCGGAGATCAAGGAGCATCTTGACAGGCTCGGCGATCAGCTCTTCACCGGGACATGCGCCATGCCACCTCTGCACTGCAGGTCCAAGGACAAGTTCAAGGTTAAACATGTCAAGTATTGTTAATGTACAGTAATTACTCTAGAAATTCAGTTGTCATTCTCATCAGAAGTTGAAGGTTTTTGTGCTGAAATTCAGTGTCTGTGTGGTGAATTGTGATAGATACCGGAGGCCTTCAACGTGTTCGATGCACAAGTAGCTCAGCAGAGGCTTCACGGGATCACCACTCTTGTATCAAGCAAGGAGGTAATTAACTGAATCACTGTACTCTATTTTCTAGAACAAAAATGGCTAAGGGTTCTGGCATTCTCAACTCTTGAATCTTTCGATCAATTATGAGATAAACTTTGCATTGCTTGTGACATAAATTTCTACTATATCTGTTTCTTTTTCTTCGTTGGTTTGGACAACGAGTCAATGGCACAGTCTTCAATACATATATCTCATCTTTACTTTTTTTTTTCCAACACCGTGGCTGTGTTTAGTGTATAGTTCCCTTTAAATTTCTAAAAATTCCGTCACATCAAATGTTTAGACACATGCATGGAGTATTAAATATGAACGAAAAAAATCAATTACACAGTTTGCATGTAAATTACGAGACGAATCTTTTAAGCCTAATTACGCCATGATTTGATAATGTGGTGCTACAGTAAACATTTGCTAATGAAGAATTAATTAGGCTTAATAAATTTGTTTTGCAGTTTACATGCGAATCTGTAATTTATTTTGGTATTAGTCTACGTTTAATACTTCAAATGTGTGTCCGTATACTTTAAAAAAAATTGGACAGGGAACTAAACACGGCCTGTATTTATGAAACTTATAAAAAAATTGACCATATGAAATGTTTTTCATGAAAATATCTTTTAATATCAATTTTCACATATTAAATCCTACTCCCTCTAGTTTTTTTACCGATAATACCGTTGACTTTTAAACATACGTTTGACCAATAGTCTTATTGAAAAATAAGTAATTATATTTATTTTACTGTGACTTAAATCTATTATTAAAGTTACTCTAAGTATGACTTTCATTTTGGCATATTTGTACAATATTTTCAAGACAAATGATTAAATATATATTCAAAAGTCAGTATCGTTATTTATTAAAACCCAACGGGAATAATACTTTTTTATTTTTAATGATCGAAGATGTCACGACTTGACTGCGTGTATTTGAGGATAATATTTTCTTTTTGATAACGGAGGTTTGACCATATCTTATATTATGGAATAGAGGGAGGACTAGCTAATTATATGAGTTTGCTCATCGTGTGCAGGGTGTGACGGTGATATACTCCAAGAGGGGAGGGAACACGACGGTGAGCAGCCACTCGGAGTGGCTCCTGACCGTGCCGGCGATGCCCGACGTGATCAACGTCAAGCTCGTCCCCATCACCTCCCTCATCAGGGGCGTGCCTGGCACTGGCTTCCTCTCTCACGCCATCAACCTCTACCTCAGATGTAACAACAGAACAGAGCTTAATGATTTTTCTTTTTTAGACGAGTTTATTTACTGTTGATTAGTTTAAAATAACAAATTAAGCATGTGATTGGATTGTTACAGATAAGCCTCCTGTCGCTGACCTGAGGTACTTCCTGGATTTCCAGCATCACTGCGTGTGGGCCCCGGTGCTCGGCGAGCTGCCTCTGGGCCCTTGCTCACACCGGCAAGGCTCCAGCCCGGCGCTGCATTTCAGCCTGCTGGGCTCCAAGCTCTATGTCAGCTCAACTGAGGTCAGACTCTGAAACAGCCTCTCACTCTGTCACTGAACCAGATAAATTCCATTCTGTGGTTCACTTTCCATGGCGTGTGTGATCCTTCAAAATAAAAAAATTGCAGGTGGTTGTTCCGAAGCTGCCGGTTACTGGCATGAGGCTGCATCTAGAGGGCAAGAAAAACAACCGGTAAGATTTCACAGGTTTATTTAAATATAATTAAATACACATGAAAACTTGAAAATAGGTTTTTCTTTTTTATAGATGCACACCCACGCACTGAGACACACATACTACTACACATGCACACCTCACAAAATGTGGCTCCCCACGCGCTCAATGAAATTAGTTTGGGGGAGCTTATGTCAGCTCTGCAGCTGCAAGAAACTCCTCGAAACAAACTAGATGATCTTCATTCAGATACCAAGAAGTTTTAGTTGTAGAATCCAGAAAATAAACTAAAAGCTAGAAGCTAGATTTCCCAGATTCTTTAGATTCTCACTAGCTAACTTTTCACCAGCTGCTTCTCAGAATTTTAAGTTTCCAAAATAGAACATAAAACCAGCGACAACTCAGTTATCAGTCCATCATGACATAGGCACCTCTGCATTATCTACAAACATTTTATTATTGTCCAAGGCATCAAACATCTTCCAGGAAAAAACATTTTATTATTTGTCACCCTTATCTCAATGACACGTGGGTCCATATGTGTCATAACATTTGGGCCCACTAATAAATGGTTAATTGCCACATTTAATAGTGGCGAATAGTTAAATTTCTAAAAAAAAACAAAGACTACGATGAAAAAGAAAACCTTAAAACTAACTTTTAAGTAAGTTTTAAACTTTGATTGGGGCCGATCAGAAAGAGCATAGAATGAAATTGCATGTTAACAAGTTTAGGTATGCACAGTACATATGTTTTGCGTCGGATGGTGTGTGACTAAAGTGGATTTCATTGTGTCGTGCGTCAGGCTGGGCATCCACCTGCAGCACCTGTCGACGACGCCGACGTTCGTCGCCGCCGCCAGGGCCGACAAGCCGCCGGTGTGGCGTGGCACGGAGGCGGTCACCGACGACCGGTACTACGAGCCGGTGCAGTGGCGGATGCTGGCGCGCGTCTGCACCGCGCCGGTGAAGTACGACCCGCGGTGGTGCGCCGGCGACCGCCGCCGCCGCCCCGCCGCCTGCGTCGTCGCCGGCGCGCAGCTCCACGTCGTGGCGCACGACGCCGCCAACAACGTGCTCCACCTCAGGCTGCTCTACTCCCAGCTCCCCGGCTACGCCGTCGTGCAGTCCAAGTGGGCGCGCGGCGCGGCGCGGCCGCCGTCGGGGAGGTCGTCGAGTTTCCTGTCCATACCCTTCTCGGGGTCGCCGTCGACATCCAGTGGCGCCGCCGAGAAGGGAGGCCGGCCGGAGCAGGGCGCCTCGCCGGTGGGCGTCGCCAACGTCAACTCCGGCGTGTTCGCCGGCGGGCCGCCGGTGCCCGTCGGCGCGCAGAAGCTGCTCAAGTTCGTGGACACGTCGCAGGTGACCATGGGACCGCAGGATAGCCCCGGTTACTGGCTCGTCACCGGCGCAAGGCTGGACGTCGACAAGGGGAAGATCATGCTGCATGTCAAGTTCTCACTGCTAGCCCAAGTTTCTTGACGACGAGTCGACGAGGGTGTCAAGATGTTCATGACCATCCCGTGATCCAGAGTTTGTACAGTTTTCAGCTGCCAAATGCAGATATGCTAACAACTGAAAAAACAGAATATTCCAAAAAAATTTGATTTTTGATTTTTTTTTTTTGGTTTGGACCCTGAAGATGTTGCAACGATCTGTAAATGAAAAAAGATAGTAGGAACCAGAGGTATCATTCTAACACTGCAAGAAAAAAAGGATTCGTTGATCTCAGATCACACATTCATATATGGGACTCGCATACGATTCACAGCAACTTGTCTTACATTACTACTACTGCAGTTCGTCTTACGCAAAAGGCGGGAACAATACCAAATTTCATTACAATAAACCGAAGGCACCAAGTGAACGACTGAATCCAAAGGTTTGTGGAAACACATATATACATCACAAGCTAGATAGCAGTTCGCCCGCATTCAGTAAGCATTCAAGCACCAGAATAGACATGTTCAATGCAAAAGTTCAGATATATGTATAAGAGCAAACATGCTGGCCACACTCAAATTCTCAAGTTGTGGAGAGAGAACAACTCGGGCTGCATCTTCCTGACGAACTTCCTCCTTTGCTTAATGCGCAAAAGCTTCTCATAGATACACCATGGAAAGCTGATAAAGTGTGGTCGCTCATATCCTTCATTGTAGCAACCCCAGAATTCAGGGTGGTAAGTGACATGGTACCAGGCGGATGCCTTGGCTTCGGAGGCATCATGGCCATGCCCATTATCATCTAAGCTCATCTCACTGAACCTTGACCTTGCTTCCTTACGCAAAGATCTCACCGCCAATCTGATAGCATCAGCATCGCTTTTCTTTGTGAAATTCTTTGCCATCTTAAGAATGCATCCACTTATTATCTCGGCCTCACTTTTTATTCCATAGTGATCCATAAGATTACCCAATTTGAAGTCGTACTCGTCCTTCAATGCCATAGCTTCAGTGATGTAATCTTCATAGCCATCAACAATCATATCGGTGTCATAAGACCGCCTTGCCACCTCCCTTGTGAAGTGCTTTATGTGAGGGGTGTGCTTCTTTATTTCCCTGTAGAGCTTCCCGATTACTCCTTTTGATTCATAGGTGACTTTGTCAAGCTTCTCCATGAAATCAGGATACTCCTTCACATGTAGTTCAGGAGGAATCAGGGCTGGCACTCCAGTTTTGGGAAAGTCAACAGCAATGGAGAAGAGCTTGGCCAGCTCAATGCATGGTGAACTCTCTGCCTTGAGGTCTTCCTTATCCGCAAATACTACATGTGCATTGGCAATCATTCCTAAACTCTCATTGACTATGTAATTTGTGAAGTACTCTTCTACTTCCTGCATGGTGCAATAATGAAGTTACAGGGCAGTGTATAAGATTTGCTAAAACTCAGTTCTAACAAAGATAAATTTATGACATTTATTTTCTTAATTATGTGATTTCCGTGCTGTTTTATTGCAAGAAAAACAAGTGACTGCTATGTAGACAAATTCAGAAACATGAAGCTGGTAATAATTTTATTCCAACAGGCAACATAATAGTATTATCAATTTGAACAGCAACTGTCCAACCAAATGCAGACTACCCCTAGACTTGAATCAGACTGCATGGTTTCCAAATACATTTTTTTTTCAAAAAAAAAAAGAACACAGAATTTGCTACTCTTATAAGTGAGCACAGTACGTGTTTACACAAGATAACCAGGGAAACAAAAAAAACAACTAGCTTAAGACAAATTCTCTCAGTTGACAGTAGTATCCTCATTATGAGGCACCAATTACAAACGTATCTCTAGAAGTTAAATATTCTAACAAGAAAGAGGCAGCATATCTTCCTTCTAATATTCAAGATTTATTACAGAAAATAGGGAAATAGATGTGTAATATTATTAAATGAAGGATTTTGAATAAAAACCATATATGCTGTGCACTAGGATTAGTTTGTTTCCTCCTGCAAATAAATATACCCAAATCTTGCAGTGCCAGAAAATAGGAGTAAATGATAATCTTAAAAAATACAAGAGCTGGACTCGTGAGTCCAAAGAACAGCATAACACTAGCCAGCCAACAATTGAATAAAATTGCTAGCATGAGTGGCAAGAAAGAGTGGACAATTCTGGTTGAAAACTGAGCTTACCTCAATTGTAACATCATGGTCTAATGTTTCTGTTGGTGCTGGAGTATAGTCCATAGGTGTCACCATACGAGGCGGAATGAGAGATGGGTCCCAAGAAACAAAATATATGTCCCCGTCAAGATCACTCCCTGAACACTCATTAGGATGCGGCCTGCACAAACAATCATGTTCAAAATAATTACTGCCTCATGTTTTAAATATGGCACCATTGACTTTTTATTTCATTTGACTATTTGTCTTCTCTATAAATATTTGTACAACAGACAAATATGACAAATCTAGTGGTACTCTTTGCACTTTACTTAACAAAGTCAATGGTGGCATATATTTAAAACCAAATGTAGATAACAAAATCGAACAGACAAGAACATGCATGCATGGGAATTTAACAAGAAAAAAAAAGGATCAAATATCGCATATCCATGAAATCGCAGGTGGCTAAGCTTCACAAACAACGAAGTTCTTCAACCTAAAATATATGAAATTGGAGAATAAGCTTTTCTCCAATGAATATGTGGTTTCATTAAAATGTGAAACCCAGACAGAATTTGTTTCCAGAAAAGTGGGGTTTTGCAGAAAAAAGCATACTACTAGAAAACATAGGAGTATGTAATACTTGCCTTGGTCCTTGCTGTGGAAAGACGACACAGTTAAACATGTGGTGCAAAACAGGAACATCAACAGCATGGAGAATCCGTATATCACCTGGGTGGAGGCAAGGGTTTTTGGCAATCACAACTTTTCCTGTCACGGTGAACCTGTCATTGTCATTTACACCCGAAGTAGCTCGAATGAACACTTGCCCATACTTCAGCGTACGTGTTTCATCCAAGCATCCCATCATTGCTCGTCCTTTTGGGATTAATATCCTTGACTTGGTTTTCAGCTCTAGTAATTTGGATGCCCTAAAAGTTTGTAGCAGCATAGAAAGATATGGTTCATCATCAGGCTGGTAGCCACACAACAACAGCTCTTTAACTGCATTTGTTATTTCTCCCATGGGCATAAGTTCAATTGCTTCGATAGCAGCTTGAGGATCAGTAACCATTTTGTTCAACTGATTCACTGCTTCTTCTTGCTTCTGTTCAAAGACACTATCTCTAACTCCAAGTGTCGAAAGAAGAGTAATTAGCTGCCGATTAAGGAAGCCTGGCTGGTACTTGCTGTATGCAAGGACATCTACTGTGATATTGTCTGACTGAAACTTTAGCATGCTTTTTCTTAAGGAAAGCTTCCAGCGTGATGTAGGGTCAACAGCAACAACACCTTTATAACCACCATACCTTATTTGAAAAGCAGAAGGAGCAAAGCGTTTCAGGTTGCACTTCATGGCCACTTCATTAGCAAAAGCAGATGATATCTTTCCAATCCCATCAGAGAACACATGCTGTGTACCATTTTTTATATCTGAGATTTCTTCCACCTCATACTTCTGAACCTTTAATGTTTCGGTTGAGGAACTAAAAGACTGACCAAGTCTTGCAGCATATTTTGCTACATTTCTGATGTTACGGAAATCCCCCATCCATGTCCTAATGTCGCTAGCAGCTAATCCCTGGCGAGAAGCAAACATCCATGCAGAGTTATCTCGGAGCTGGCTTGAAGAAAAAGCAAGAAACTCAAAGTTCTTGCCACCAATAGTGATGCCATCTGAAAGGACTGACAGAACTCTCTTATACAGAGCAGTTCTGTTTGCATCATGTCCTGAAGCAGAACGGGGGGATAAATCAGTTGCACGGAGCTTCTCGCAGTCCTCGTCAACAAATGAAATGCGAAGGAAATTCTCTATGTCAGAAGAAAAATTCCGCACCACACGATTGGAGACATTAATCTCAGGTCCATAAAAATACACTGTAGACATAAACCAATCCATCATCCAGAGATATGTTAGGTGATGGTTGGACGTAGCGTGATCTCCGGAATTTTGAGTATTGTTCAGATAGCCAACTTGTTGGATTCAAGCAGGTCTTTTTCAAATATGACATCATTTCAAGTGCACGCTTTATATGGTCAATAGGTACAAAAGCTGGGCTGACCAGACGAAAGAAGCTGTCATCAACTGTCGGTCCGCTAAGTGTCCCATTCTGAACCAAATGGTTGATCTTGAAGAGTATCTCATAGGGGACATAACCACGAGATTTCACAATCGGAACAAAGCGAGTATCACTTGAATATGGATACCCCCCACTCCGGCACTCGAAGTCATGATTGTACTCATGATAGTAAAAGAAGTAGTCACGAATGTTTGGGAGATCACATCGACGTGGTACCTCAAGACATAAAATATATGATTGCCCAATGCTAGAAGATGAAGTAAAATCCGTTGTCCTGGTCCATTGATCATCTGTATGATCCCTAAAATAGTTGAATAATGGATCTTCGTACATAACACCAGAACGGCGTGGTGTCTGTTCATAAATCTTAGGTGCAGCTTGAACCTGAAACATGAAACGATTTATAAATTTAAGGTTATCTAAACTTTAAATCAAGAGATAACAACTAGAATTGGTGACTGGGGTGGATCAACATTTTGAAGTGGAAATATAAAGGAAAATACTGGATAAAAGAATTCAGTGCTTCAGCATGATCATATTTTTTTTTACATAAGAACACGATCATATTTTCACTCCAGATAAGTAATACTCAAGTAGCATATCTTTATACAACTTCATTGCCGCATATTTTGAAATGAAAGGGACAGGCGAGTTAGAGAGCACTCATAAATTCATTAGCATGAAGAATTAAAGAAACACAAAGATTAGAAATGCAATTTCATTATCCAGTAATTTATGATTGAACAGTATAATGTCGTTCAACCATGCTAAAGTGCAGGTTGTGAGCCACAGCAAAGCAGGTAGGGGAACAAGAATACTAACAGAAGAAATTCAAATGATTCTTTTAAACCATCACAGTAAGCTCCTAAACACATTAACATTGTCCATTTGTATATCAAATAAGGACCATATGATACATACATTCTAACAGAACTCCCATGTAACTTTCACCTTCCGAAAACAGCAAAATCACCATTGACCAAAATTCCAAAAGTCAT